ATGTTCACACATTTTTCTGTACTTTCCTTTGCCAAGTCCTAGAAAACAGAGCTTCCACCACCCCAAAGATGTCCCAGGTGCAGCTACAATACCTGGGCCTCCTCTGTCCCTGGAAATAAACTGCTGTGGGGAGACGCTTACTCCATAAGACGAAATGCCCTATCCCAGGTGTCGCACCACCTTGTGCAACCAGGAATATGAGGCTGGAAGATGGGGTGTTTCTCACGTGCTGCTGACTCATGGTGCTGCACTGCCCCATTTAGACAGAGCCAGTTTGTTACCAGATGAGGTTTTATTTCCACGTGCTTCCTGTGGCTCTGTGCACAAAGGAGGGTCTGTTGGAGGTATCTCCATGGGGAGTGGCGTACAGCAAGCTTACCAGATCAGTAGTGTATTACATGGCCAGTAGGAACCGGGGGTTTCCACTGCAGCCTCACCAGGCTGTGAGCAGCAAGAGGAGCCCAGAGGAGGGATTCTGTCCAGGGACAGCTGGGACTGGGCCAGGCTAATGCTGCACTAGAGAGGCCGGGGCAAGGGGAAGTGTTAGTGCTGCTTCCTCCTTGTGCTGTAAGTTCTAGCAGCCTGTTCTGCCACTCTCATGCCATGGTGTGGGCCCCTTTTAAAGCTTCCCTCCACCCCACGTTGTCATGGGTACTTGTCCTGACTGAAAGCCAGCTCTGGCACTAGGCCGGAACTTTGTGAGCACTGCACCAGGGAACACTGGAGGCTGCTCGGCCCTGGTTGAGGGGGAAGAAAAAAAAAAAAGGAAGCGGCCCCTTTAATTGTTGGGCCACTCTCCTGCACTCCTCGCTGAACTGGGAAGCCAGGAAAAGTGGCCAGCCGATCCAAGCGCTGTGACCCCCCAGGAAGGCAGCCACAACCCCAAAGGGGGTTGAGATCCATGGGTTGTGCACCACTGTTTTATTGCATGCAGTGTCGCCGTGGCTTCCCTATCACTCACATCAAGTCTTTGCTCTTGTCCTGACCTCTCCCAGCTATGCTGCTCCCTGCAAAGTCCTCGTCCACTCCATCCGAGTCTCCTCTTGCCTAGCTCTCCCATTCCTTACCCCCACATTCCTTATCGTCACAGTGGTAACTTGTGGAACTCCTTGCCAGAGGATGTTGTGAAGACCAAGACTTTAACAGGATTCAAAAAAGAACTAGATGCATTCATGGGGGATCAGTCCGTCAATGGCTATTAGCTAGGCTGTGCAGCGATGGTGTCCTTAACCTCTGTGTATCAGACGCTGGCAATAGCTGACAGGAACATAAAAACGGTCAGACTGGGTCAGACCAATGGTCCATCCAGCCCAGTATCCTGTCTGCTGTCAGTGGCCAATACCAGATGCTCCAGAGGGAGGGATCACAACAAGTAATCCTCACGTGATCCCTCCCCTGTCACCCACCTCCAGAGAAACTGAGGCTAGGGACACCATTCCTACCTATCCTGGCTAATAGCCATTGATGGACCTAACCTCCAGGAATCTATCTAGCTCTTTTTCGAACCCTGTTAAAGTCCTAGTCATCACCACACACCCTGGCAAAGAGTTCCACTGATAGGGATCACAACAAGTAATCCTCACGTGATCCCTCCCCTGTCACCCACCTCCAGAGAAACTGAGGCTAGGGACACCATTCCTACCTATCCTGGCTAATAGCCATTGATGGACCTAACCTCCAGGAATCTATCTAGCTCTTTTTCGAACCCTGTTAAAGTCCTAGTCATCACCACACACCCTGGCAAAGAGTTCCACTGATTGAAGAAAAACTTCCTTCTGTTTGTTTTAAACGTTCTGCCTATTAATTTCATTTGGGGTGTGTCTAAACTACATGGCTCCGTCGACGGAGCCATGTAGTCTCCTAGGTGTGTGTCTAAACTACATGGCTCATTTAATTTAAAAGGCCTGCCGTGCTCTGCCGACCAGCTGATCATCAGCTGTTTGTCGGCAGATCGGGGCAGTCTGGACACGCTGCAGTCAACAAGGAAGCTAGTCCAGACTAGGGCGCTGAGCCGACAAACAGCTGATGAGCTGTTTGTTGGCTCAGTGCAGCAGCCATTTAAATTTAAATGAAGCTGCGATTATTTAAATCGCGGCTTGATTTCCCTCTGCCGATCAGCCTCATCTACATGACGTCCAGTTCTTACCTTGTGGGAATAAGTAAATAACTTTTCCTTATTCGCTTTTTCCACACCAGTCATGATTTTACAGACCTCTATCATATCCCCCCTTAGTCTCCTCTTTTCTAAGCTGAAAAGTCCAAGTTTTTTTAATCTCTCTTCATATGGGACTTGTTTCAAACCACTAAACATTTTTGTTGACCTTTTCTGAACGTTTTCCAATGTCAATATATCTTTTTTGAGATGAGGCGACTACATCTGTATACAGTATTCAAGATGTGGAGTACCATGGTTTTATATAGAGGTAATAAGATATTGTCGTCTTATTCTCTATCCCTTTTTAAATGACTCCTAATGTTCTATTTGCTTTTTTGACTGCCACTGCACACTGAGTGGATGTTTCAGGGAACTATCCACAATGATTTCAAGATATTTCTCTTGAGTAGTTGTAGCCAAATTAGTCCCCAACATATTGTATTTATAGTTGGGATTATTTTTTTTCCAATGGGCATTACTTTACATTTATCAACATTAAATTTCATTTGCCATTTTGCTGCCCAGTATCTTCATTTGGTGAGAGCTTTTTGAAGCTCTTCACAGTCTGCTTTGGTCTTAACTACCTTGAGCAGTTTGGTATCATCTAAAAATTTTGGCCACCTCACAGTTACCCTTTCCTCTAGATTATTTATAAATAAGTTGGAAAGGATTGGTCCCAGGACAGACCCTGGGGGGACTCCACTAGTTACCTCTCTCCAGTCTGAAAACTTAACATTTATTCCTACCCATTGTTTCCTATCTTTTAATCAGTTCTCAGTCCATGAAAGGACCTTCCCTTTTATCCCATGACAACTTACTTTACTTAAGAGCCTTTGGTGAGGGACCTTGTCAAAGGCTTTCTAGAAATCTAAGTACAGGAGGCCCCCACTTTACAATGGCAACCAGCAAGGTACCCCCCACTACGTCACAATTGCATCGCAAGTCGGGGGCAGCCTGTACACTATGTCCACTGGATCCCCCTTGTCCACATGTAGTGAAGTGAAGACTAGAACTTTAATAGGGTTAAAAAAAGGGCTAATAGATTCATGAAGGTTAGGTCCATCAATAGCTATTAGCCAGGATGGGTAGGAATGGTGTCCCTAGCCTCTGTCTGGAAATGGGTGACAGGAGAGGGATCACGTGCAGATTACCTGTTGTGTTCCCTCCCTCTGGGGCATCTGGTATTGGCCATTGTGGGCAGACAGGATTCTGGGCCTTTGGTCTGACCTATTATGGCCATTCTTATCCCCCTTTCCCTAGCCTGTCTCCTCCATGCTCCCAGACACCAACTAACTCACCCTCTTCCAGCCCTGCCCCTCAGCTAGGGCAGCATTCCACCTTCCTTTGTTCCTCTCCCTGGGGGGTAGCTGGTCGGACAGGTTGAGAGACCCCTTTGCATAATGACTCATCCCCTGCCTGGCTGGACCGTGCTGCAGCCAGTGGGGGTCACTCACAACCCACTGCCCAGCATAGCAACCAGCAAGGTACCCTCCACTACGTCACAATTGCATCGCAAGTCGGGGGCAGCCTGTACACTATGTCCACTGGATCCCCCTTGTCCACATGTAGTGAAGTGAAGACTAGAACTTTAATAGGGTTAAAAAAAGGGCTAATAGATTCATGAAGGTTAGGTCCATCAATAGCTATTAGCCAGGATGGGTAGGAATGGTGTCCCTAGCCTCTGTCTGGAAATGGGTGACAGGAGAGAGATCACGTGATGATTACCTGTTGAGTTCCCTCCCTCTGGGGCATCTGGTATTGGCCATTGTGGGCAGACAGGATTCTGGGCCTTTGGTCTGACCTATTATGGCCATTCTTATGTTCTTATGAATAGGATTAGTCTCAGGACAGACCTTTGGGGAATCCCATTAATTACCTCTCTCCACTCAGAAAACTTACAATTTATTCCTGTCCTTTGTTTCCTGTCTTAAGCAGCTCTCAGTCCACGAAAGGACCTTTCTCTTATCCAATGACAACTTAAGAGCCTTTGGTGAGGGACCTTGTCAAAGGCTTTCTGGAAATCTAAGTACACTATATCCTCTGGATCCCTCTCATCCACATGTTTGTTGACCCCCTCAAAGACAGGAGACGGATCATTTGATGGTTCCCTGTTCTATTCACTCCCTCTGGGGCACCTGGCATTGGCCACTGTCGGCAAACAGGACACTAGGCTGGATGCAGGGGCGGATGAGGGTGCCGCGGGGCCCAGGGCAGCACCGCGGGGCCCCGGGCAGCGAAATTTTGCAGTGCTCCTCCTTTGACATGGCGCATGCGCGGGGCCTCGGGAAGCGTGGGGCCCAGGGCAGCCGCCCCGCTCGCCCTGCCCTAAATCCGTCGCTGGCTGGATGGACCTTTGGTCTGACCCAGTCTGACCGTTCTTACATTCTAGTATTCTGTGGGGCATGCTTGGAGCTCTCCTTTGCTTCTGTTTTACTGCATGCTCCCCATACCCTAAGCAGGGAGGAGAGGGGGTCCATAGTAATGATCAGAGTGAAGCTTCCCCTTCAGGCCCTCTGGCCCCAGCTGTTAATGATTTTGATGAAATCTGGAGACATGCCTCTTAAAGCCAAAGCAGTTTGCCCTGCTGGCTGCAGGACTGGCAGGGGCATTGCATTCTCTTCTCTCTTCTTAGATACTGACGTATATGGATGGGACAGTGAAGGTGCAGGAGACATACCTGAAGAACCGGACTGGCTTTGTGTACTCCATGCCAGACTTCAATATCTCCATTGCCATTAACAACACCCAGGAAATGGACTCTGGCGAATACATGTGCACGGTCAACATTGTGGACGACGATACCATCAGTGGGAAGAACATAGGGCTCCTCAACCTCACAGTTCTGGGTAAATCTTCCCAGTGAAGGACCAGTGTCCTGAGCAGGGTGGAATTTGTGAGGAAAGCAGAGGGCACCTTTCCTAGACCCCAGGGATCAGCCTCTCCTGCCACCCAGTGCTGAGGCTGGGTCTGGCCACCTCCATCACTGGGCTCAGTGTGGGAGGCTGAGGCCCGTGTCCCCATCCTTGGACCCACCCTGAGGATTAGCTCCTTGCAGGTGCTCTCCAGGTACCTCTTGTTGCTCACAGGCTCAGCCCTGGAGCCTGGGTCTCCCCGTCCCCAGCCACAAAGATGCCCTGTTATTGCTATGGGGCTGGAGCAGGGCACCAGGGTTGCTCCCAATGGGGCATGCGACTCACTGCAGGGCAGTCTGTGGCAGTGCTACTGCCAGGAGGAAGGGGCGAGAAAGCGCTAAAATCGGGTTCTGTCAAAGACTTGAGTGGAATGTTGGGAGCCTGAGAGCTATGGCTGGAACCTGAGGGCAGCCAGTTACCCCGGTGATGGGTGTGGTGTGAAAGGGAGAACTGGTCTGGGTCTTTTGTCATGAGCACATCCCATAGTCCAGCGCGCTCACATAACCCTCCTGGCCCTTCGGCAAGTGCCTCAAGGTCCTGGAGCGATCCCTGACAATCTGGAAAGCTGGGACAGCAGTGAAGTAGCGACATTTGCAAATGACATAAAGTGATTTGGGGGTGTTCAGGGCCATAAAGTCTTGCAAGAAATCAGAGACCAGACCAAGCCTGGGCAATGGGTGCCATGAAGTCCATTGAAATTCAGTGTAGCTAAATTTGACTGCAGGCTCCCAATTAACTGTCAGCACAGGAAAGGGATCTGAGTGTCTAGGCAGATGTTAAGAGAAACTGAAATGTTTGGGATTGTTACCTTAGAAGGGAGGTGGATAAGGGAAGGAAATGGGAAGTCTGCTGACTAACGAATCTTCTGGAGAAGGTAGATTGGGAGCATCTGCTCCAGCAAACAAAGGCATGGTGACTGGAATTAAATGGTGGCAAATTCAAAAGCAGTAAAAGTGAATAGTTTTGCATTCAATCCCTAATTAGCTGTCGGAATTTGTTGCCACCACACAGCATTGATACCAAGAACTGAACAAGATACAAAGAGGGGTAGGCCATTTACATGGAGAGCTAGAATACCAGGGTTACCATAATCAATGCCAAGTTTTGGGGGAGGGTATTAAACTTGTTGCTTGAGAGCTTGGGCTGGTCTCTGACTGCTAGCAACCAAAATGAGACCTAATGTAGGGCAGTTAGCCCGTGCCATCATGCCATGAGGTTCTGGCATCATCCTTTGCTGCTGTCAGAGACAGGACGCTGAGCTAGGTGGACCTCAGATCTGATTCTGTCAATGCTTATGTTATAAGTGAGACTTCCCATGCAGTTGAGGGGATTTAGAAGCATGTTTCTCATTCTAGTTAGCTGAGTGGCTTGTTGCCTCAGGGGGCTAGGGCCTAGCGTAACTAGCAAGGGAAGGCTTGACTGTTCAGAAACAAACATTTCAGCAGAACTTTGGCAAAGCTGTGGCCAGACCTGGAATCTGGCTGTTGCTGCCTGTGGCAGTGAGCTAGCGCTAAGCTGACCAGGCAAGATGTGGGTTTCAGAGCAGCAAACCTATCATCAGTGCACGGGACACAGCTGCACTGCCTTGGTGCAGTAAGGAAACAAGCCATTTACTGAGCATTGCAGATGCACTTGGAGTCAGAGAACTTTCTTAGCTTGGTCTCAGTAAATGCTGAGGAGGGGTTTTCTCTGCAGTGATGGCAGCAGAGCCGGAGCAGGGAACACCCAGGCCCAGGGTTCAAGCGTACACAACAGCTTTGGTCCCAGTACTGATGAGATGGGCACTGCTCATGGCCAGTAGATGGCACCTTTTCATTTGTCAAGCTCCAGCTGGAAACAGGCCCTTTGTGATGTCTGCCTGGGAAATGCGCTAACCCATCTCCTCCCGCTCTCTCCAGTTCCCCCATCGCCCCCCATGTGCCAGCTCCACGGGAAGCCCTACCTCGGGGGCAACGTCACCATGAGCTGCAAGTCAGCCTTCAGCAAGCCCAGCCCCAAGTACAGCTGGCAGCGCACCGCCCCCAACACCCAGGTCTTCTTTGCACCGACCCAAGGTAGGATTCTGCCCCTACCACGAGTGCACCAGGATCCTGGCATGGCTCGGGGGGAGGGAAGTGTGATCAGAAACTCCTGATGCTCTCCTCAGGGGGTTAAGCAGTGGGGTGATGTGGGAGAAGGGGGGGGAGGACCATTATCACCAGATGCTGGCTTCCCCGTGGCATTTACCTGGCTTGTGGCCAGCTGGGAGCAGCTCCACGGACCAGGCACTCCCACATGGGCTGGGCATGCTGGTGCCATTGCAGTGTTAAAGGGGCTGGCGTACCATTCCTACCTCTCCCCCAGGCCTAACACCTGAGCGAACACACCTCTGGTGGCTCCGCAATTTAACCCCTCTGTCCAGTGTGAGCACAATGAGAAAGCTGTGTGTGACGTAGTGGGGGTACCTTGCTGGTTGCTATGCTGGGGCTGTGAGTGACCCCCACTGGCTGCTGTCGGTACCATGGCCCAGCAGGACAGGCGATGAGTCACTAGGCAAGGGTCTCTCAACCTGTCCAACCAGCTACTCCCCAGGGAGAGAAACAAAGGAAGGTAGAATGCCGCCCCTGGCTGGGGGCAGGGCTGGGAGTGAGTGAGTTAGTTTCTGTCTGGGATCATGGAGGAGACAGCCTAGGGAAAGGGGCTGGAATTTAGGGGCCCAGTCTCCCACATCTCAAGGGGGGCTGAGGCATCCTAGGCCTGCCCTGTAACCAGATGACATCTGTGCTGTGCTGTATCCTGGGGAAGCAATAAACTCCCTCTATTCTACTGGCTGGTGGAGTCTGTTCATGCCACTACGGGGGTGCAGGAGGCGGGAAAACCCCAACGCGTCATCACACCGTGATCAGTCTGACCTTGGGGATTCTGGGTGGAATTCTCAAGCTGAAAATTTCCCATTAGGGTAGAGTCTGAGCAGGGGAAACAGCAGGGATGGGTCTGAGCACATGGAGTTGGAGGGCTTGGGTGGGAGCCTCACACCTGTCATGGTGCAGCATGGTGGAAAAAAGGTCAGGGAGTCTCGTCTCAGTTACAGATAGAATCCTTCAAACTCTCTCTGCTTTGAATGGATAATCCCTTCCCTCCCAGCCTTGTGGGAAGTCCCGTGTGTTTCTGCCAGTCATCCCGGTTCACAAGTGCAGTGGCTGCCTAATAGAGAGGAAGGACAACCTTGTGGTTAAGTTGGGGACTGGAAGAAGTGACCCAGTTTGTCACTGATTCCCTACGTGGCTGTGGGGAAGTCACTGAATGGTTCTGGCCTT